ACAAACAAGCATTAAGCTAATAATTTGTGCTGACAAATGTCCTGTTGTTTGTAATGGGACCGCTCCACGAGTTGGCTAGGGCTGCCGCATGCATACACAGAGCCACCTGCCAGGGAATGCCTACATATAAGGTCTGCAACTGTCCCTGCTAACTCTGTCACCTTGAATTTAGGACTCCTGCAATTTTAGTGGGCCAGCCAATGTATTTATTTCCTTCCCAAATTTAGATCTGAATAAGCGGTAGATCTAGGAATAGACTTGTAGCTGGGATTACAGGTGCCTGCCGCCACGCCTGGCTAATTTTTTTTTTTTTTTTTTGTATTTTTAGTAGAGACAGGGATTCAGCATGTTGGCCTGTCTGGTCTTGAACTCCTGACCTCAAGTGATCCACCCACCTCGACCTCCCAAAGTGCTGGGATTACAGGCATGAGCCACCAAACCTGGCTGGAAATATATTGTTGATACGATACAGCAGAACTGTATCTAATCCCAGCTGCTCCTGTGCCTCGTCCAGAGTTCTTTCTGCTCTGCCACTCTGCTGAAAAACCATCCTAAATGACAGCAGATGGAGTTACTGACCCTTCTCCCAGCCACCATGAATTTCCTGTTTTCAGAGGCTACCCTGTCTGTTCCTGTCCCCATGGACAGCCTGCATGCTGCTGAGTCAGGTAGCAGTTTATAGGCCTTGTTGAGCTTTCACAATAAGAACAAGATTACTATTTAGAACCAAGGCAGCTATTTTCATAACCCACAGTGAAGTAGTTAGGCAGGTATTCTTTTGAAAGTAAATAAACACAGTCAATTGCAATTATTTGGTTCCATTTAGCATATTAAAAAGGTAATGGTTTAATGATATCCTAGTGGTCCCAAATAGTTAACGGACCACAGAAAATGATTCATAAAATCTCCCTCTTGCTAATAACTCTGAGACAAGTGTTATGAAAAGGCACTAAACCCCAGGAAACCGAAGTGTTTTCACCTTCCCACCAAGTGACAATGTTATTAGTTTATAATTCTCTATTCACGAAAATATAGGATCTTTAGAGGACAGAGAAGGCTATCATAGATTTTGTTTGTCCGATAAGAGATCCTTAAAACGTTATCTGGGACAGTTGCTGTGGTAAAGGAAATGGCCCTGTTAAAGCCACATGACCTTCCAACTTTATGTCACATGTCCCTCCATGCTAGTTCATTAGACTGGGGCCAGGAAGCCTGAGACTGAGGCAGTAGCTGAAGAGAGTTCTTCCTGACAGTAGGACTCCCCGGGGTGTACAGAGCCAGGGGACTGGCAGGGTAAGAGAACACAGGAACCCACTTCAGATGGACATAAACACACAAACCCTGTGTTTATTTTGGAAAGGGGTGTGAGCTATTACATTACAAATATTCCCCGGAGGCATGTGTCTAGCCTCCCGGCTCTCAATATGACACTGACAGAATGGGCTTCTTTGTCATCATTTGCTATTGATAGATGGGGTGCCAGTACTTGTAGTCAGAGAGACAGCTGTGAACATCTGGAATGATCCCAGGGAGAAGTCCTAACCCAGGCTTGACAATGATGTCAGGGCACTGAAGGATGCCCTGCCCTCTGTTACCAGAAAAGTGTCTCCCCTAGATTTCTATACCTGCCCTTGCATTGCCACTAAGTGTGACAGGAAGAACAAGGACTGAGGAGGCATTTGAATCTGGTTATATCACGTAGTTTCCTCACCTGTCAAACAGTGAGACCAATATTTAGTTGGCAGATTATGGTGAGCATTATAGTTCATTTATTAAGCATTGTATATAACAAACACTCAAGAAGTGGTAGCTAGTATTATTACTACTGTAGATATGAAGCTATTGCCTTTCCCTTAAATGCTCTTTCCCAGATATTTGCCTGATTAACTCCCTATTCTTTTTCAATCATTCACTCAACTCTCCTCTTTTAGTGAGGTCGACTCTAACCGGTCTACATAATACTGTCTCAGCATTCCCAATTTTTCTTTCCTGTTTTCTTTTATTTTTTCTATCACACTTATTTAATTGTAATCATTACAGAAATTTTCTTAGTTATATTAATTAAAAAATTTTTTTCTATAGCCTTTTATAAGAATTTGAGTCCTGTGACATCAGGGATTCTTGTACGTTTTGTCTACATAATACCCCATTGCCAAAAACAGTGCCGGGTATATCATAGGTATGAATAAACATTTATCAAATAATTTTTTTAAAGATTAGGTAAGTGTGGCCAGGCACTGTGGCTCATGCCTGTAATCCCAGCACTTTGGGAGGCCAAGGCGGGAGGATCACAAGGTCAAGAGAGACCATCCTGGTCAACATGGTGAAACCCCATCTCTACTAAAAATACCAAAATTAGCTGGGCATGGTGCCTGTAGTCCCAGCTACTCAGGAGGCTGAGGTGGGAGAATCACTTGAACCTGGGAGGTGGAGGTTGCAGTGAGCTGAGATTGGGCCACTGCACTCCAGCCTGATGACAGAGTGAGACTCCATCTCAAAAAAAAAAAATTAGACAAGTGTGAAATTAGTTAAAAAATAATAATAACATTCTATTGACTGTTTATTGTTTGTATATACATATGTATACATCTATGTCCATATGTTTACTTGCATCTATACATACATATTCGTATATTAATTTTACCCATGATAACATCAGAAGATAGACACAGAAGGCATTTGGGTTAAAAGACATGACACAATTTGCCTAGTTTGCCTTGTTTACACCTGTGTTCTTCAAAATAATCATTACCAACACTAACTCTCTCTCTAAAAAGTGACCCAAGACATGTTACATGATCACTCTAAATGAGGGTCAAAAAAAAATCCCTGATCTCACAGGTGTCCAAGAACAGTTCCTGTCTCAGTGCTGATGAGTGTTTAGTATCCACTAGACAACCACTGGCACTGGCTTATTGTACCAGGAACACCAATGTAATTTTTTATCTATGTAAAATAAATCTTAAATAGTAGTTATAAAACCAAGAAAAGCAAACTCAGTGGCCATAAGGCTTGTCCCTAACAGATAATTTTTCATTTGGTAAAGAACATTGGGTGTTTATTGTGATATTTTTCTACAGTTTGATCCTGGTGTTGGCTGGAATGACTGAGACTTTGGGTGATGGTTTTAGTATTTAGTATTGACCTTAATGGGCTGCTGCCTTGAAGGTTATTTTGCCACTCAATTTTTGTCTTTTTTTTTTTTCTTTAGCTCTGATTCTAAAGCTACTAAGAGAGAGTAGCTTTAATATTTAGCATTTGGGGTTCTGGGCAAGCCTATCAGGGCTTGTTTAAGAGTTATCAGACAAAAAAAAAAAGAGTTACCAGACAGACAGCACAAATTTACCTCTTTTATGATCCCAGTAGGTTTGGAGAGGGAGAGAAAGAAATCCAACAGTAAGGGTCCTGGGTGACAGAAGACAGAAGATACTCTGTTTAAATGACTGTGCAGTTTTGGAAGGATGATCTTTTCTTTCTGTCTTATATAACTTTCTATAGTTATTATGTGCGGTTTGATTTTTAAATGCCCTTCCTGTCTCTCTTCATTTCCTCTTGGAAAATTTCCTTTCAATCAGGAAAACATTGCTTTAGAAAATTACTCTTTTAACAATGTCCTATCACCCAAAGCTGAAAAATGGATTAAAATCTAATCTTCTTCTCCTTTAACCCAGCCTGCGTATTTTAGATCTCACTCTCAGGGTAGATATACATATATCTTTTTCAAACTTTTGACTACATCTAAATAGATAGGCCTTTAAATAGAACTCTTTAAAAATGTCCATTTTCATCCCAAGTTTGATATCAAAGTCAAAACTCTTTGCCATTTCTTCTGAAGACTCAAACGGTCTAACTTCCTAAATATTTCTCTGCTAGTCTTAGCCTGGGAGCCTTAGAGTCCAGTGACCTATTTAGGCTGGAACAAAGAAGGCAGCTGGCAGGGGGTGTGAGAAGCCCCATGTTGTTTTCAGCCCCACAGGCAGCTGAATTGCTGACTTTCCCAGCTTCTGATACTTCAAGCACATATCACGTCGATCCCCCACTATCAGTCAAATGAGGAAGGAAAAGCTCACTGAAGAGAGAAGCAAGTTTCAGGAACCAACTACAGTCTCTGAGTTATGCCAGTGATGTGTCCCAAATACATTTTTTGTTTTCCAAACCTGCTACCTTTATTTCAGCAAACCCAATTGGTTCCCAAATTTCTCATCCATATGTAAGTCCTGAAGTCTAGACTTCCAATATGGATCTTATATGTAACAGTGCCATTCTTGTGAACCTGCTTGGCAGTAGGGGAGTTTTTGATCACCTATGACATAGGTAGAAATGATTGCAGGTTTTCAAAATTCACAGGTAAAATCTAAAGGCCAAAATTAATGTGTAGTATGACTCTTCCATCAAGAAACATTTTACCTGAGTTTCTAATAACTAGCAAATCTGATTTAAATATTTCCACCTTGTCAATCATATATAAGAAGAGATTCATACTGGCTGTTTCTTCTAACTCTGGATTTTTCTGGCCCTAGAAATGGTACCAATAGTGGAATCACCAAAAGAAAATACCATGGTTTAGATAATGCACAAACTGAATTCCTGTGAACTGTGGATTGTCATAAAGGAATAAAAAATACTTTTCTAGTACCATGATATAGGAAGATTTTTAATATAAGTTCCTGTGAACAAAGAAGGCATAAGAATTATTTCCATTACTCCTTCAGGATTTCTTTACAATATTTGAAAGTCCTTTATTTTCACCTCTGTGGAGTTTGTTTTATATCTCATAAGACCATTATTGAATAGAGAGAATATGACTGAATAAACCATCTGCAGGTGGAATCCACTGGAGCTAGCCACAAGTGCAAAGCTTGCACAGGTGGGCTTGGTCTCTGCCAGTGTCACTGCCCATTCCCTTCCTCTAAGAGCCCCAGAAAGCATTTGAGAATTCAACCTGTGAGCCTAGTCTTTATTATTGTGACCTTGATAGTGATCTACTTTTATTGTTACAGGCAATGAAAGCTTAGAAGAAAACTATGTCCAGGACAGTAAGATGGGGTTTGTCATCAATGCCATCTATGCCATGGCACATGGACTGCAGAATATGCACCATGCCCTCTGCCCTGGCCACGTGGGCCTCTGCGATGCCATGAAGCCCATCGACGGCAGAAAGCTCCTGGACTTCCTCATCAAGTCCTCCTTCATCGGCGTGTCTGGAGAGGAGGTGTGGTTTGATGAGAAAGGAGATGCTCCTGGAAGGTAAAGTGGTCTTTTCAGTAATGAATCTGAATAAATGGAATAAATATGTGAGCCTTCCTGAGCCAGACAGATGGCAACTATGGCTTCATCTGGTTCCATGGGTTCTGGGTGTCATGAGGATAGATACAACTAGGTAGCAAAAAAATCCAGAGATAATGTCAGGTGAAATGACCAAAGACCACACCACTTTTTTTTTTTCTTTTTTTTTTTGAGACGGAGTTTCCCTCATGTTACCCAGGCTGGAGTGCAATGGCGCGTTCTCGGCTCACCGCAACCTCCGCCTCCTGGGTTCAGGCAATTCTCCTGCCTCAGCCTCCTGAGTAGCTGGGATTACAGGCACGCGCCACCATGCCCAGCTAATTTTTTGTAGTTTTAGTAGAGACGGGGTTTCACCATGTTGACCAGGATGGTCTTGATCTCTTGACCTCGTGATCCACCCGCCTCGGCCTCCCAAAGTGCTGGGATTACAGGCTTGAGCCACCGCGTCCGGCACCACTTTTTAAAACATTGAAATACTTTTTTGTCAACACCCAGTACCCAGTATTCTACCATGCCACTCCCTTACTCAGTTGTCACTTGACCCGTTTTCCAGAATGCTTGGAACCTCCCTGCAAGCCCAGGAAACTAAAGAAATTACACTTGGCCAGCAGAAACCTCTCAGACCTTGCCAGCATCAAGCCAGTATCTTTCTGATTCATTGACTGTATGACATTCTGGTTATGAAATATTTTGCATATTACACCTGGTTAAAGAGCTCAGTATGCAAAGAGAACTGCATATGTGTCCCTTCTCCTCAGGCTAACTTATGTTCTGCTTGGAGCAAGAAAGGAAAGAATTTTCTTTTTGGGATGGTGTCCCTATGGCTCAAGAATTAATCAAACAAAAAGCGGATGAAATAAACCGAGGTATATACATAAAATCCTCTCCAAGCCATTTGACATACAGTCTACTCTGCAATACTTGTTTTGATACCACCAGTTAGCTCAAGTGTAATTGGTACATAGAAAATGTTGTTAGTTTCAAGAATGGTTGTGTTCAATTACACACAATTTCCTAGGAAAGGCATAATGAGAATGGCAAGAGAAGAATTGAAACCTCTAGGAGGAAGGAAAAAGGCCCTTAGATTGGTTGCCACGCAGCAAGCCCAGGGTCTTACAGGCTCTGTCACGTTTCCGTATATGATGTCCCAGACTTAGAGCTTTTTAGGAAATCATATTCCGTGTTCAAGTGGAACATCAAATCATTTAACCTTCATTGCTGTAGGGGGATTATTGTCTTTCTTTTACGGATAATAAAACAGTATTGGAGAAACTAAGAAACTCACCCAATGTCACACAGATTGCAAACAGTAGAGGCAGCTGCTCTCACTCTGAGGCTTGTAATCTTTGTAATCTTTTGCCACATCACACTGCCTTTTAGCTAATCCTGAAACTAAAGCAACATGGCTGACGGCTGGCAACCTTCTTCTTTTTTTTTTTTTTTTTTTT